AAGAATCTCTGGAAGTGGATGGGACACAAGTTGCAGAAATTTCCCAACTTCTTCACAATGCAAGCCCTAACTTGGAATCCTCAAGGCCAAAGAAAAAGAGGTAGACCAAGGATTACACACATTGAAGACATTTGGAAAAAAAATAGCAGTTGCGTAGAAATAAAATGAAGGGCCCAGGATAGAGTTGGTTGGATATTGCTGGTTAGCAACCTTTGCTCTATGAAAGTTAACAGGCATAAGTGTATGAAGGAATCCTTAATCACTGATTGACGGCGTCTGTAAATATTTTGATTGGGCTAATCAATGAACAACTAAGCATTTCAAATTTTTGGAGTTGGAGGAAGTTGATGTTGAGTTTTTGAATGATCCAGAATAACTTGAATTTCGAGTCCTCAACTTCGTAATGTATTTCGCCTGTGGATACCTTTACGTACCAATAAACGCTTGCGTATTCATTAACAACCAATTATGCTTTCATATGAAACATATTCGAAAGATGATTAGTTAAGTCGTTAATAATAGTTGAAATAAGCGCGATAGTAATCCTTTAATCTTTTTAGTTGGGATTCTAGTATTTTCCACTAATTTAGGTTTAGAAAACTCATGAAAACAATGGATACAACACCGATCTATATGAAAAAGCTCATTGAAAGTCGAATGATTTGTTTAGAATTTCGATAATGATCTGAGAATAACCATTTTCTCAATATCAAAATTTAAAAGTTCACCGGAAAGAACCACAACAATCAAAGTTGAATATGACTACCATTTTCATTTCAAGAATCATCTCACACATACATAAATTCACTTATTAACTAAATATTAAGAAATGCTGTCATAAGTCGTATTATGTAAACCGTGTAAATATGCTTTAGAATCTGAACACTAGTCGAAGACTTGGGCTTCAGAATTTTCTAAACATTGGACGCAATCACATACGTTCACATAGAGTATCTAATACCTTTGAAGAGGCTATGAAACTGAAGGCATACGCTCCATTAAATTTGAGTAAATGACCAATGTTTGAAGACTCAATTTTTTTCATGAAAAAACAGTTGTAGCAGAAAGAATAACCGAAAAATTGACTGAATGTAATGTGAGTAATCTATTACATAGTATTAATGAACATAAAGAATTGTACTCAGGTTTCAAGAGTTCCCATAACGACAAATAAATGGAATAACCAAGGTAAATGTTATAAAGATGAATTGATGTCTATCTGAAAATTACAGAGTTACTCAGTAAAATCGGAAAACCATATCGTAAATCGTTCATTTGCAAAATATCAATCCATCATATCGAACTGGACTGTTCCTGTTGCAAAACATCAATCCATTGTCACTATTCATGCGTTTCATACAAATTCCATTGTGTTCTAACTCTTCGTTTCTTGATCTTCCCCCATCTTCTGCTGCCAGACATTACGTTTTTACTCACGTCATATGCTACTTATAAGTAGCTCACTTAGTAGAATTCTCAAATAAATAATTTTGCAGAATTATCACTTGAACCATAAAGACAGTTTGTAACACGATGTAAACCACTTGAATAGTTCATAATTTCATTCTAGTATACTTCATCTACTAACCCTTGAACTGTTTATAATGAAGAATTACCTAATTTATGATATCTGTGTTTTAAATTGATTTTATTGTGAATACAATATTAAATATTTTTAATGGTTATAAAATTACTACTGTGCATTCAGTTAAAAACATAATCAATTTATTCCAAAGATCATTGTGTGATTCACTTCAGTATAAAATAGACAATGAATGGTATTTCTTATGAATTTTTATAAAATGCACAATAGGCACGTATATTTATTGATTCTTTCAATGTATTTTCTAACATATTTAAATGGATATCATCTAAAACGATTTGATTTATTATCTGATGAATTAATCCAATTTATAAATGATTATGTAAGTTGATAGTGAGTGAATGAATGAATGGTACGGTGATACTTTTCTCTCGAAATGAATTTCAAACAAAATTTTTAAAAAAAAAATATTCAAATTACAATTTGAATTCAGAAATGTTTGTTTAAAAATAAATGAGAGTAATAATATTTATATAAATTATATTCAATGTATAAATTTTTATTTGTAAGGAAATGTTTCGTTCAATATTGTTTCATTTATCAGACAGATTTATTCAATGTACAACATTATAAGCTTGTAAATGTTGATGCCCTGATAACTCACTAATGAACAAAAAATTGAGCGGGAAAATTTACTGTCCACCTTAAAAAATATCTCAGTTTCATTATAATCTTACTGTTTGTTAGCTTCTGCATTCTCTGTTAACTGCCTTGATATTCAGTGAGAAAAATTCAGTTTATGAAGATGAATGTATATATACATATATAAATGTCGATCGAATTTAGTAGTTCTCGCTTTGTGGGTATGTTTATCAATTCTTCGGATGTTAGATTGTTTTAATGATATATTCATGTGTTGAACGAATTAATCCCATGTGATAAACTAGTTGACAGTCCAACATCGATTATTTGGTCTCTATTAACCGATCGTTTATGCAGAAGATAATTTTGATTTAGTGTGTAACCTTGCGGAAAACGATGAATTAATTCTATCGTTTGATACATTTTAATCAAGTTGTTGAGGTCAAATTTCATTCATCATATCAATATGATATTTTGAATCTTATCTTTGATGAATCCGCGTTCTCACTATACGATGATCATCATATGACATGGTGTTTTATTGTCTGAGGAATTCAGTTATAATTACAAAGATAGAAATACTGTGTAGTGCATAAATTCTTTAAGAGAACAGTATGATAAAAGTTTACTGACCGTAAATTTATTTTCTGTACTGGAATGCATTGCAAACACTAACTTATTTTAAATACAGTGATTACATAATCTTATTTTTTTTCTATTCAGCCATCTGCTGGATGGAAAGCATCCAAACAAAATCGATTTAAATCAATATCGGATGTATATAATACATTAGGATATCATGGTATTCGACATTTAAAACCGAAAATTTTTCCAATTATATCACATGAAGATAAAAATATTTCATTACCTGATTATTTTGATTCACGTGAACAATGGAAAAATTGTCCAAGTATTAATTTTATTCAAGATCAATCAAAATGTGATTCTGGTTGGGTATGTTTTTAGCAAATTTCGTTTCTTCTCTCCTAATTATGTTATTGTTTTAGTGTAATTATTAATGTGTCAATGTGAATTTTTTAAATGTATTACGATGCAGTATTGAACTAAAGACTAAAGTATGCTGATAATTATTGGCATCGTTTTCAATGTAACATGAATTACAGTTTAATGTAATCTATTCTTATGATATGCAGAATCGAGTCATTCAGAGGGAAACATGACAATCATCCAAAGCTATTCATCATCATTTTTAATTCGTTTTTGGAATTGAAAAGATAATTCATCCACAAAAAATGTGAAATTTTCTGTCTTATTGCTTTATCTTGAAATTACATTCTGTTGGGCATGCGTTAATTTCCATGTATGAACGATCAAGCTTATTCTAATGTGAATGAGATCTCAGTATTACGAAGAGTGAGGCATGTTCCTTAGACGATAGACAGACAGACAGATACAACGCAGAGCTTCGTAAGTAAGTACATCAGAACAGAGACGCAACTGTCAGTTCAAATCCAGGAGTGATAGCGATAGTAGAAGTATTAGCAGTAATGCAGAAGTTTATATTTCGAAGATATGATTCGATTAGTATAATTCAACGAGATAGATTTAGAAAGAGAAAGACAGAGGTGATGGGAAATTCCGAAGGTTAGAATTAAAAAGCACAGAAAGAGTGGATGCACCTGCGCCATTGCAAACGATTCTGAGTCATGTGGTTCAAGGTCTCTAACCATTGGTGACTTTCGTCTCGCTGACCCCAACGACAGAGTCGGAGAACATGGGAAGAGCACAGAAAACATTTACTATTCAATGAAGTTAAGATTAAAAGTACATTAATTCTGTATGCTTTGCAACAATACATGACCTTGGAAAATAAGAATGAATAATAATTTCAGAGTGATAACAACTTATCATAAAACAAAAAAGATAATGGGGAAGTGTACTCGGTATTTCTCGTTACATGAAAGAAATCATCATTCAGTAACAAAAACCACATAATATGAATTCTTACTTATTTACTTATTTACGCCTTTTACCCCCAATGGAGCATAGGCCGCCCACCAGTTTTCTCCAACCAACTCTGTCCTGTGCTTCCCTCTCCAGTTCTGTCCAATGTTTGTTCATTCCTCTCATATCTTTCTCTATTTCTCGGCGTAATGTGTTTCTTGCCCTTCCTCTTTTCCTTTGACCTTGAGGGTTCCATGTGAGGGCTTGTCTTGTGACGCAGTTGGGTGCTTTTTGTAGTTTGTGTGTCCTATCCACTTCCATTGCTTCTTCCTGATTTCCTCCTCCACTGGAATATGGTTTGTTCTCTCCCAAAGTAGACTGTTTCTGATGGTGTCTGGCCAACAAATCCTTAGTATTTTGCGTAGACAACTATTAATAAACACTTGTATTATTTGGCTGATGGCTTTGGTCGTTCACCAAGTTTCCGCTTATTTCACAAATTATTTCAAACAATGATCATTGCTTTAGAGTATTAATATCATATAAACGCTTAAATCGAGCTTGAATTCATGTCTCTAGTTATAATATTTTACAGAAATTGGAAAGAAAGCGTACAGCCTTTCAGAATACACATTTTGATACTGATAAAAAGTATTTACGATTTATAGAACTAAAGGGTAGAATAATGATTGAGAAAAAGTGACTCACTTCTGTAAAATGCTCATTATTCTCAGATTATTGATTAAAGAAAGAATCCTTTCAGAAATGAAATGATTGATTGACTGGTTTTGTTTGACTTTTAATGAAATGAATCTGATATTCAAGTAATTAATATATATTGTAGCTTTTTAACACTTCATTTATCACAAACCATATGGACAGGAATTAAAACAGACAAACTGTTTGGTTATTTACTGAATAGATAAATCACGTCAGCTTTATTTAATAAACTGATCTTCCTATTGACTTTACTGATCTTGACATAAATTCAAACTGACCACAAGGCTTGAAGTAATATTCTTTTTCAATAATAAAGAAAGCATCTACTGAACTACATGAGGTTATCATCACCACTACAACACTTTTTTTGACGGTTATTTCAATAATGAATATGCGAATATTGTAAATTAGAAAAATAAAGTAATGGAAGCCTTATTAATTGGTTATGTGGTGCGCGCTACATATAAGTAGTAAATGACGCAAGTAAAAACGTAATGTCTGGCAGCAGAAGATGGGGGAAGATCAAGAAAGGAAGAGTGGGAACACAATGGAATTTGTATGAAACGCATGAACAGTGAAATGTCAGACAATGGATTGATGTTTGCAACAGGAACAGTCCAGTTCGATATGATGGATTGATATTTTGCAAATTAACGATTTACGATATGGTTTTCCGATTTTACTGAGTAACTCTGTAATTTGAGATAAATACAATTCGGTTGCCCTCACCTATGTTCTCCTTCACTACAGTTATGTTTGAAATTGTCTAAATATCTATTTTAGGCTGTAGCTTCAGCTGCTGCAATCAGTGATCGTACTTGTATTCAAACGAATGGAACACTAAAAGTACAACTAAGTGCTATTGAATTAATTTCTTGTTGTCCAGAAATGCAAACTGGTTGCCAAGTTGGATATTCTGAATATGCTTGGAATTATTGGAAGAAAAATGGACTAGTTACAGGAAATTCAACAGGTTGTCTACCATATCCTTTTCCAAAATGTGATCATGAACAACCTAATTCTTATCCTAAATGCGGTTTTACCACATACAAAACACCACCATGCAAAAAGGCATGTCGTTGTGGATATCCGATTCCATACAATGCTGACAAACATTATGGTAAGCATGAAATGTATGGACTAGAATTCTGCTGATTTTAAAACTTTTACATCGTTTCTCTGCAATGAATATTTGGAATTATCCAAGTTCATTGTTTATACTTTTACAATTTCTCATTACAATAGTTTGATCAATGTACAATTAAATGTATACTAATAAAGAATCTCATTTCAATCAATAAAATATGATTGTAATGTATATATATATATATATATATATATATATATATATATATATATATATGACCAGTGTAGCAGCAGCTTCTGCAGCAGTAGGTCTCAACATAAATAAAGGAAAGAGCGAAATTCTCCGATGCAACACAACATGCACCAACCAAATCACGCTTGATGGAGATGCTTTCGAGGACGTTAACAACTTTACATATCTTGGCAGCATCATCGACGAGAAAGGTGGATCCGATGCAGATGTGAGAGCACGCATCGGCAAAGCAAGGGCTGCATTTCTACAACTGAAAAATATCTGGAACTCCAAACAACTTTCAAACAAAACAGAAATCAGCATTTTCAATACAAATGTCAAGACAGTTCTACTGTATGGAGCCGAAACATGGAGAACTACCAATGCCCTCATCCAGAAGATAGACATATTCATTAACAGTTGTCTACCCAAAATACTTCGTATTCGTTGGCCAGACACCATCAGCAACAACGAACTGTGGGAGAGAACA